GGAGGTAAAAAATAATTTGAATGAAATATTTTTTTATAATTGAGTTTTGTAAAAAGAACGGTAGTAAAGTTGGATAAGATATCTCTTAGGATAAAAAGAAGATAATTAGGTGATATATTGGTATTGTTATCATTGATTATATTTTGGTTAATAAAATCAGTAAAAAATTGTGGTTGTTGAGAAGCTATGCATTGTAATAAATCATCAAAGTTGCTTTTAGTAGCTTGTTGATTAGAAGCTTCATGTTGAATAATTCGACCAGAATAGAAATGGTTTAATAAAGTCAAGAATTTGAATACCAAGAGGTGTTGGAAATTGAGTTTGTTTTTCTGTTTCGGCATTGGGAATGCTTGAAACCAGTCAAGAGTATTGTTGATAAAGCTAGTTGGGTCATGTTTCAATAAACTATGAGGAAATCTACGTTAAGACATTTTTTAAAGAAAGTTATAAGTATATTTGATAGTTGGTTTTTGTAAATTTAATATTTGTTATAAAAATTATTCTAAGTTTTTAAATAATAAATTAAAATAATGGTAAAATTTTTAAGTTTTTTTTGGAGTATAGAATTTATAAGTTAGGGGTCAAAGGTATATAAATAGCAGGGGTTATTTAAAGAGCGGCTGGTGTGGCTTTACATGTAACCTTGTATAACCTTGTGTAACCAAAGGTTTAAATATGTGTGGTAAGTGTGGCTAGTGTGGCTGGTGTAGCTTTGTGTAACCAAGTGTAATGGTGTGACTTGTGTATCGATATAAAAGAGTTTGTGTAAATTTATTAAAACTAAAATAGTAAAATTAAATTTTGTATAAAAATAGATAAAACAGATATTGGGGTTGTGTAAATTGATTAATAATATTGATTAGTAATGTGGATTTGCAGATCTTGGATGTCCTAGAGAACAGGAGTCCCCAAAAAATAGACAAAATTTTTGTAAAAACTAAACAAAGTTTTTGTAATGGAGTTTAAAAGTATTTTGATTATAGTTTTGTCGTTTTTTATATATTATATATCAAAATGAAGCTGTTGATAAGCTAAATCTTTTTGTATTAGAGAGCATTGGATGTTAACTTAATAGAATTTTGAGTTTTGACTGATATAAGTGAAATATAAAAAATTGGTTGTAATTTTGTGAAGAAAAGCTTTAGAAGTTTAAAGCAAGGCTGCCTATAAGTAAAATTTACTGTAGAACAGTTTTACTTAGATGGCCAAAGTAGATTTACTTAGTAGAATTTAGAGAATAGAGTGATTATTTTTAGAGAAAATTTGGTACAAGTGATCATCAGGAAGAGTTAGTGATTTGCATCTATATTTACTAATCCTGTTAGGATTATTGCTTTATATAACATATTACTAATCTAAAGAAATATTTTTAACTAAAATTTTAAAGAGCAAAATAGAATAAGAAAAAATATAAGAAAAAAATATTTTAAAATGAAACAAATAAGAACATAATTAACTAATAAAAAAAATCTAAAGTACAAATATAAAATTAAAAAACCTATTTATCAAATTAGTACCTGCTAACCAAAATACTTTTTTTTTATAGAATAAAGCCTAGTCTTAGTTTTTATTGAATAATTTATATATTATATTAATATAATGAGTTATATGAATTACTACAGAGTTCTATAGCTAGGACTACTTTATTCTCAGTCTAAAACTTTACTAAAATAAGCTAACAGACCTCATCTAGATTTATAGTAGCGATATAAGATATGAAAAATATTAGTAGTAAAGAAGATAGTTGCTCACTTGTTGAATCTTGTTATACTATATTGTGATTTGGAAGAGTGATCTGAAGGAGTATAGTAAGTGCATTAGGTGTTGTATCCTGCTAGTGTATTGCTATACACTGTGTATGCCATATTGTTTTGTAAATATTCTTAGAAATCTTATACAATAATTGAGTATTATAAGTCTTAGATAAGGTAGTAAGCTCTTGGATATTAGATAGAGCAAACTCTTATATTGTGGCTATAGAAAGGATATTATTAGGTGATGTAAAAAATCTCTGTATAATTGTAGCAGTTGTCTATTGGTGTATTTGTTGCTTGTTTAGGAATTTGATGATATTATTATGGATAAGTTGGTGTATCATAGTTTGGTTTTTGTTACAGGTGAGCTAGTGAGCATTGTTTTTGATATCTGCATAATACCTGTTACATATTAGATTAGTGTAGATTTTTGGATATTAAAAGTGCAGATTGAGAAGTACAGATAATTCATTAAGAAGAAACTTGATTTTGAAGTTTTTAATTTGTGATAATTTAGAATATATAAATCAGGTATGTAGTTTGTTGTTGTAGTAGATATAATTATATAGTATTTCCCAATCTGTGTTTTGTCAAAACTGGTTCCAAGTCTGGCTTTGTTTAAGGAATACCACCTAGCTATATTGTTTGCATTTTGCTAACCAGAATACTTGTTTATATAATTATAGTAATTATATAAAACTTAGCTAATATATAAAAAACTAAACTAAATATACTTTGATTTATACAGAGATCTAAAAATTATATGCATATAACTTTTGTTATTAGACTACATATCTCAAATTCTCTTTATCATCTTAACTTTAAATATATAGTTCTTTATCTTTAAACTTTTTAAATTTTCTTTTTACTTGCTATTCTTGAAGACTTCTCTGGTTTAAATACTAAATGTAAAAGAGAGTCCATATAGAAAAAAAACAGAAACAAGACTTGACTATTTGTAAATATTCTAAAATTTTCAGTCCTCAGTATGTTATATTAAAAGACTTCATCGACAACAGTTTATATTAAGAAAACTTTAGGTTGTTGTTAACTTCTGGTTTTAAGTCTTCAACTTGCTTTTAGTAATAGTTGGTATAAATAATTATTATAAAGAGTTTGCTATATAAAATTTTTTTTAAAATTTTTTATATATTTAAAGTTTATAAAATTTAAGTATATAATTTATAAAAAAATCAAATATCTTATAAATTTGTTTTTATAGTATTTTTTTAAAAAAATAGTCTATTTATTATTAAAAATAAAGTTTTAATAACTAAAAAGATTATATTTTTATTATTTTTTAAATAAATTTATCTGATTAAATAATAATAATATTCTAAAAATTTATACTATTAACTGATTTTAATATATTTTTGTTTATAATAAAATTAATCTTTTATAAGAATAATAGTAAATATTAATTATATATATTAGTTTTAAAACTTGTCACTATAGTAATTCTCATATCAAGCACATCAGGAAATTTTTTTAATAGATAAGCATTGATTATAATTTGAGGTTATTAATCGATTAACAACACTACCATCAGAAATAATCGATATAGATAAAAATTGATAATTATCATAATATATAATAAAATCGATATAGATAGAAATCAATAATTATCATACATTTGTTAAAAATCAATAAAGATAAAAATTGATGTAAATAGAAATTGATATAGATAAAAATTAATAATTATCATGCATTTGATAAAAATCGATATAGATAAAAATCGATAGTTATTGTTAGAGATATTAGTCGATTTTGATCTTAGTTGACTTAGCTGGTTAAGTCAGTCAAATTTTTAAAAAAATAACTTAGTTAACTATAGACTAGCTCACCCAACTATTATTAAAAATTGTAAATATTAAACTTTTTATAGAATATGATTATAAAATACATTATTTCAGCATCAAATAAACCTTACTTTTAAAATTCATTAATTAAAATCAAAATATATATATATATATTTAACCTTTCACAGAAATATGTCATGGTATTTATAATTATCAGATTTTGAGAAATGTTTCAATACCTGTTTCACTTGATCATAAGTTAAAACAGGAGTAAATTGTGTATTTATTTGTGTTGCTTTTTCACTAGCCATATTAATAACAAGACCACTCTAAACTTATGTACCAAGAAACCGAC